CGCTGGACTCCCACAGGGCGAACTTCGGTTTGAGCCCCAGACCTGGTGACTTGCTTTCTCTCTACCGCTCTCTGGTCAAGTTAAAATACATAAATAAAGTTATATAAAATAAAAAAATAATAACTGTTGAGCCAGCTGGCTTCATGGTAGTTAAAGCAGCTGGGTCCACATGGCTAACTACGGTTCATACCCTGGACCTGGAGGCTTTAGAAACGCGCAGAGGGCGTGTGTGTGCATTGGGATCCAGAGAGGAGAATGGAGGAGCCAGGACTGCAGCCCGGCCATGGGCGCCACGGCAGGTATAAAATAAAAAAATAATAACTGTTGAGCCAGCTGGCTTCATGGTAGTTAAAGCAGCTGGGTCCACATGGCTAACTACGGTTCATACCCTGGACCTGGAGGCTTTAGAAACGCGCAGAGGGCGTGTGTGTGCATTGGGATCCAGAGAGGAGAATGGAGGAGCCAGGACTGCAGCCCGGCCATGGGCGCCACGGCAGGTCTCACACTCCCTCTCCTCCTCCGCCCCCTCCAGTGAGCGCAAGTGCTATACAACTAAATTTTAAGAAAAAGCAAAAGGAAAAGCTGTCCGCGTCCCCTCGACCGCTGGAGGTGGAAAGTAGCATTCACTCTCTCTGGACGAGTTTCTCCACGGAGAGCCCAGACTCCCAGGCATTCCAGGCCGACCCCCGGAAATCAGAACCTACCGAAGTCGTTGGAGGAGCAGGACGCCAGCTGGTGGGTCACAGGGTTGTAGGAGACAGACTGCACAGAGTCGTTGTGCCTGAGAAGAAAACAACCACAGAGTATCACGGAGCGGACCACAAACGCCGTGCCGGTGACATTGAAGGGCTTAACCGTGAGCCACGGCCTGACTGCACACCACTAGCGCTTCCGCAATGACCGCTGAAACACACGAGGATTAGGTCTCCCCCTGGGCCGCCCTCGTCCTGGCTCGGCACGGACGCCACCTCCGCCAGGACTACTCTGCTGGACGCCTCCAGGTTGTGAGCTGGCGAGACAGGGACGTAAAGCTGCCAGCCTGCGCCAGGTGCAGAGTAGGCACTTTATTTGCAACTGTTACTCTTACTGTTTGTGGCGCCTGGAAGTACAGGATAGGGGCAGGGAGGATGCTACAGGCTGAGATCTGGGAGCACCGCAAACCCTAGACAACAGTGAAGCGGAGGGGGTCGGGCACCGCGCGGTGTCTCAGCTGAGATCTGGGAGCACGGCAAACCCTAGACAACAGTGAAGCGGAGGGGGTCGGGCACCGCGCGGTGTCTCAGCCCGGTTTTATTCCTTCACTTCCGAGTGACGCTTTAGAGGGGGTCGGGCACCGTGTGGCATCTCAGCTGAGATCTGGGAGCACCGCAAACCCTAGACAACAGTGAAGCGCAGGGGTCGGGCACCGCGTGGCGTCTCAGCCCGGTTTTATTCCTTCACTTCCGAGTGACGCTTTGCTTACACCCTCACTCGTTCGCTCACTTATTCATTCCTTCAGAAACTGCTGGTTTGTATACTCAGGTTCACAGCAGCACTACTCACAACAGTCAGGAGCTGGAAGCGACCCAATATCTGTCAGCATATGAACAGACAAACACAATGTGGTCTATCCATACAATGGTCGTTAAAAAGGAAGGAAATCCTATGGGTCCAGCATGATGGCATGGTGGTTAGGGTGCTGGACTCCCACACAGCTGACTGTGGTTTGGATCCTGGACCTGGCGGCTTCCTTTCTCACTACTCTCCCAACGCTGACTCTCTCTGAGAGCTTATGTGCCCTGTACCAAAATTTTAAAACAATAATAATAAATTAAATTAAATAAATAATTCTTTTTTTTTTAAGGAAAAAAAGGGCAAGCAGGTGGTGTGGTTGTTAAGCCACTAGGCTCCCATGTGGCCAACGGTGGTTTGAGTCTCGGACCTAGTAGGTTGCTTTCTCACTTAACCCCCCACCTTGTCTCTCTCCGGTGAGCGCACATGCCCTATAGCAAAAGTGAAAAACAATTAACAATAATAATGATAAATAGACTTCATCAATTTTTTTAAATGAAGTAAATTCTGACACATGCTATCACATGGGTCACCTTTGAGGACATTATTCTAAGTAGAACAGCCTTGTCGCAAAAAGGACTAGCATTGTCTGACGCCCCTTACGTGAGCTAGCGCCTGGGGTACTGAGAACCACACGGAAGGGAAGTGCAACGGCAGCCGAGGGCTGTCGGGAATGCTGCCTAACGGGGACAGGGTATGAGTTCGGCAAGACAGAAAGAGGCTGGCAGGACACGGGCGCACACTGGCCTGCGTGAATTCACCAGTGTGCGCGCACTCGGTGCTGCCGAAGTGCAGTATCACACGGTGGCTACGCAGGGGACGCTGAGGGACAGGCACCGCACCAGGCCTCAGGGCAGAAGAGTGAGCGCACACGGATGCACGTGTGCCCGCCTGATGTCGCTCAATCACAGAGCACTCGGGAAATGGCAACTCTAGGAGAGGTTACAGAGGAGCCCCACCACCCCACTCCCGAGTAGGGAGGGCAAGGAAGGCTTTGACTGCAGAGCAAGGCGCTAACTAGGAAAGGAGTGGGGGAAGAACGCGAACACCTGAGCTCACGTTTCTGGCCTTTGATGCTGGGGAGATGGTGGGGTGTTCCCTGAGACCAGGACGCTGGCAGGGGACAGGCTGGGGGTGGGGTGGAACTGCACCATCAGGTGAACTGAGATGAGCCGTACGAAAACACCCAGCCTGGTGCTAGCCACAATAGGAAGAGCTCAAGAAGTGAGCATTCACTTATCCTTCACCCAGTCTTCCTGTACCCGCCACGTCCTCAAAACGGAATGCCAAGTTCGATTTCAGAGAATAAGCTTTTTCCTCACATCTTTTCTTTTTTAAGAATTATTTATCTTATCTTATTTATTATTATTATTTTGTTAATTTGTTATAGGGCATGTGCAGAGAGAGCGAGAAGGAACGTGAGAGAGGAAGCCACTAGGTCTGGGAGGCGATTGCAGTCACCCGTGTGCGTCCAGGGCCTTACCCAGCACGCCACCTGCTGGCCCTACCTTGCATCTTTTCTAAAGGGGGGGGGGCTTTTGCAACAGCTACTCAGAGTGAAACTAAGGGGGGTGCTTTTGCAACAGCTACTCAGAGTGAAACTAATGAGAGTGAGTCTCTAACTGGTCACTTACGTGTACTTTAGAATGCCTTCCAGTTTTGATGTCCAAATAATAACGCTTTTGTCAGCTGATCCGGAGGCAAAGCGCTTGCCTGAAAGTGTTTGAAAAACGGACAAGTTCACATTGATTTAAAACTAGTAGTTCTCAGAGGACATTTCTCAGAAAACAAGTTCTTGCAGTGTCGATTTCCTCTCTCCTTTTTCCCATCCGCACTGGGAGCCAGGGCCCTGCAGCCAGGACGTCTGCGCCCCAGACCTGCTCTGCTGGCACTGAGCAGACAGGGGTGCACTGACGGCCGCATGTAGGAGCCAAGCTCTGTGCTGGGAACTGGGGAGTGACTGCAGCACAATCCCTGGGCCAGCCCCATGGCAGTGGTTAAAGGAAACCACCCCCCATGGCCAACCATGGCTTGACTCCCGGCTCCAGTGGCTTGGAAAACCTGCCAGGCACGTGTGCATGTGTGCCTCAAATCCCAACAGGATAGAGAGATGGAGAAGGGATTGCAATGTGACCAGACCGTTAGGGTGCCCCCTGGGGAGGTGACCTCTCTGAGCCTCAGAGTCTGCATCTGAACCACAGTGGAATAAGATCTCCCTCAAGAGACTCCCTGGAGGTCAACCAAGAATCTGCAAAGCACTTTTCTCAGTAACTGGAGCTGGCGGTATGAGGGTGAGCATCGGCAGTGCCGCAGCCACCACGGGCAGACGCTGCTCTTCCTCATTATGATGGTGGCCGCTCCTCCCTCACCGAGGCAGGCAGCAGGTGAGGAAGAGTGCAGGCTCTGGGTCAGGATTGCTAGTGATGTCGCTGGCCAGCTGCACGAGCTGGAGCAAGCTACTGAACACCTCTGGGCTTTCATTTCCTCCTTTGAAAACCGAATACAGTCATCGTATTTACCTGACAGTTGATGTGAAAATTCAATGGGCACATGTGAGCATGCTCGTGCATGCATGTGTGTGCATGTGTGTGTGTGTGTGTGCAGGCACACACAGACCACAAAATGTTTAGAACAGTGCCTGGAATAGAATCAATGCTAAAAAAAATTAAAATGAGGGACTAGCAGTTAGCATCATGGCTATGTTGCTGGACTCCCACGTAGGCAACCGTGGTTCGAGTCCCAGACCCAGTGGCTTAAACTCATGCCGGGTGCATGTGTGTGTGAGCCCAAGATCCCGAGAGGAGAAAGGAGGAGAAGGGATTGTGGTGTGGCCGTCCCCCCGGG